AGGAAGAACTAGTGCCCCCTTCCCACTGGGGCCTGAGGACATAAGACTCAGAGGAACTGGTACCCAGGCCTCTCCTCCATCATCACCTTGGCCAGGCTGACCTCAGGCTAGCAGAAGGTGAACATCATAGCTGTGACCACTGTCAACTGAAGACTAGCTGGCCATCCACAAAATTCCCACATTCCTGAGTCTTACCTAAACCTAAAGATGAGCACCCCACAAACATGCCTGAAATTGAATTTCTTGCCAATCATGGGGCGAGGGTGGGGGTGGGGTAAAGATTCAGAGTTGGCTATCTGGTATAGAAAAATAAAGTAATGTGACATTTAATACTTACCCCAAATGTTGGGGAGAAGAAAATTCACAACCAACATCCCATAAACTGAGTGAAAGATGAAAAAAAAAAAAAAAGACACTGCAGAGCTTCTTACAATCAAGATAGAAGCAATAAAACTACAATAACTAAAGCAGCAAAGGTCATTGGGAAAGGGTTGTGTGCCCATTAAAATAAGGAATAATCTAATGTCAAGATCCAGCCCTGACAAAGGGAAGCCATCCCAACCAGGGAATATGAGTCTGGGCCCTTTGGTAAGTTATAGTTAGTGCTGGGGAAGGTATGTCCAGTGCTAAATTAAGAACACAGAGTTGGGCTGGGGTTGTGGTTCAGTGGTAGAACACTCACCTAGCACATGTGAAGCACTGGGTTCAATCCTTAGCACCACATAAAAATAAAGGTAATGTGTCTATCTACAACTAAAAAATTATTTTTTTTTCTTGTTAATATTTATTTAGTCGTAGATTAACACATGTATCTTTATTTTTTTTTAAAGAGAGAGGGAGAGAGAAAATTTTTTTAATATTTATTTTTTAGTTTTTTTCGGCAGACACAACATCTTTGTTTGTATGTGGTGCTGAGGATCGAACCCAGGGCCACACGCATGCCAGGCGAGTGCGCTACCGCTTGAGCCACATCCCCAGCCCGGTATCTTTATCTTTATGTGGTGCTGATGGTGGAACCCAGTGTCTCACACATGTGAGGCAAGTGCTTTACCACTAAGCTACAGCCCCAGCCCCTAAAAAACTATTTTAAAAAAATGGAAGAACACAGCATTGGCCATACACAGTGGAACATGTCTGCAAACCCAGTGACTCAGAAGGCTCAGGAAGAAGGAGCACAAGTTTGAGGTCAGCCTGGGCAACAAAATGAGAATCTGTTTCAAAAAAAGTAAATTAAAAAAATGTGCTGGGAATGTAGCTCAGTACTAGGCATTTGACCATGTGCAAAGCCCTGAGTTTAATTCCCCAGTACCACAAAAATAAGTAACTAACTAACTAACTAAATAAATAAATACAGCATTACTATGGCCCATGTGCCTTTATCCTGAACTGCATTACCAAGGAGAGGTCAATGAAGTTCACTCTGGGTCACCAGTGAGAGGGCTGTGGGTGAGGAATGATTGGAGGAGGTCAGGAAGCAGATCCAGAAGGTAGAGATCACTCCTTGGAGGAAAGGGTGTGTGAAGACCCCCACCCCAGGATATGCAGCAGGGCCCAGCAAGAGGCAGAGCAAGATGAGAGTAACTAGGAAAGAGCCAGTCAATAGTGAGAGATTGAAACCACAGAGGAGGCATGGAAAAGAGAACCTCCCAGAAGGAGCTGGAATGGGTAGGCTTCACCTCTACAGGCACCTGTGCATCACCTCTGTATCACCAAACCCAAAGAAGCAGTCAGGACAGCATCAATTTCCTCCCCCCATTTAGGGCTTCCTTATTTAAATTTTTTCCCCAAAATCTTCTGTACATTGCATAAGTGTGCAAGGAGGATCTGACCAATTATTGCAAAACCAAAGTGACTAGCAAGAGGACTGATTGGTGGGTAGGATCTTACTTTAACCAGCGACTCTCCACTTCTCTCCCTCTTCCCCAACCAACTTCTATTTCTCTGTCAGGATCAATATAGACATCTTGGGAGTTGGGGATATAGCTCAGTTGGTAGAACTGAGGCTTGCCTCACATGCACAAGGCAATGGATTTAATCCCCAGCACCACACACACACACACACACACACACACACATACACCCCACACAATAGATAGGTAAATATCACATCCCTCAGGAAGCCTCCTCCAGCCCCCCAAGACTGGGTTAGGAGCCCTGCTATGGTCTTTTTCCATCCCTGATTGTAATTGTACCTGTTGCCCCTGAGGGTGGCAGTTGCCTCTATTCACTAGCACATTCTAGTGCTGCTCACATGGCCTGGCATTTGGAAGGTGCTCCATAAACCTTCACTGAATGCATGAAGTGATACTTCCTGACATTTGCCATTGGAGCCCTTCCTAGTGGTTCCCAAAGGAGAGGCAGGTGGGCACATGTTATTTTCCTCACAAGGGCTGCCTGTGTCTACATTCTTGAAGAAGTCCCAGTCATTTCCTTTGGCTTGGTGGCATGATTTCCTTCAATCCCTCATGACATCAATCCTCAGTCACTTCTCACTGCTAAACCCAATTTATAAGCCTGAAGACAAGACTCCAGACAACTTTGATGGTCTATGGAAGAGCTTGGATTGGGATGGGAGGCTGGAGTTTGACCTTGCAGTCCTCCTGACCTGAACTGGGATGATGTTCTAATAATGTGGAGGTCCATTCTGCTTCCCCTCATTGGGTTTCTGGGGCAGGTGTAATCATTTCTGTGGTGAGATGTATAGGGACACAACCAGTCGTGTTTTCAAATAAAATCACATGAGCACTCACACACATTCACACACACCACCACCACACACCAGCACTCCCACTCTTTGGCAGAGATGGGTTTCAAGGAAATGAGTCTCAAGTGGACATGATGGTGGTGGGCAGCATTCCTTTGTTCCTGTTCCCTCCAGCATCCACCATGGTACAACGAGCCATAAGAAGGAACAGTGAGGGAGTAGAAGCAAAAGGAGAATAGAGTCTCCTTTTGTTTAGAGTCTTCAGGTCAGAGGAACAGGGAGTAATGAAGTCAGCAAAGTAACAACTGGCCACATATCCCATTTTCTCCTCCATGTCATCTCAGTGTCTCCTTGTCCTTCCCTGTCCCCAACCAGGCCACATGATGAATGAAGCCATCCATTGTTGGCCTTCTGTTTCATACTGAAGTCTTCATTCATGTTCTTTGGAAACTACTTTCTCTGCAGCTGACTGACTTCCTGTTCCATTGACCTAAGGGATGGCCTGGACTTGGGGGAGAACAGACCCAAGTGTACAAAAGCTTTGGTGGTGTCCCAGCTCCCAGAACATGATCTCCCTCTGGTCAGAAGCTGAGTAGCATTCAAAACTGTTTCTTGCATTGTATCTCCTGACCTTTCCTGGGCTTCCAGCAAACAGAAGCCCCCCTACTCTATTCCTTCTCATTGCCCTCTCCTCTCAAAGGCAGATGGAGAAGGGTGGGTAGTTGACTGAAAATTAAAATTTGGGCAAAGAAAGTACTAGATGCCATACTCACTTCTCTGATTCTCAAACACTTGAAAATTGGGCCTACCCCTTCACTTTATTCTCCCCCTGACCACCTATCTCTTCCCCAAAAGCCTGTCAGTAAAGGAAAAAAGTCATCTTCCATTTGAGCCAATTTACTTATTTTTCCGAGGTAATACAGTTACATGGTTTGAAATTCAAAATGTACAGAAAGGTATATAGTGCTAAGTCCCCTCCCAAGCCTGCCCCCTCCCCAGAGGTAATCAGTGTTACTCATTTCTCTTAAATATGCGTACATAAGCAAATATGTATTTATATTCTCATCCTTTCAAAAACAAACAGGAAGTGTACACTATACATATTCCTGTGCTTTTCCTTTTTTACTTGAAGATTATTTATTATTAATATCTAAAGACACATGATTTTTTAGCTGGATAGTATTGCACTATAAGATTGCATCAAGTGCCAGGTGGGATGACACATGCCTGCAATCCCAGCTGCTGGGAGGCTGAGGCAGAAGGATCACAAGTTCAAAGCCAGCCTCAACACAATGAGACCCTGTCTCAAAATAAAAAACAAAGGGCTGGGGACGTGGCTCAGTGGTTAAGCACCCCTGGTACCAAAAAAAAAAAACCCAAAAAACCTGCAAGTATTGTTTTGACCAATTACCTAGGGAGGAATGTTTCTATTGTTTCCAATCTCTTGATATTACTGTACCCATCCCATCCCAGTCCAAACCCCAGGAGGGACAAACAGATCCCTCCAGGTCAGGCTCCTCCCCATTAGAGTCCCCAGCTCATTAACATGTCTGCACATGATTGGACAGTCCTGGCCTGAGGGTGGGGTTCCCAGGGTTTCTTGCATCTTGGTCACACACAACCCTGAGACAAGATAACCATTCTTCATTACCCAAAACCACCTGCAATGCTAGGTTGAGTTGCTGCTCACACTATGAACATTCTCATCAAGAGAGTACAGGGCCAGCAGATGAAATGGGCAGAGAGAACTTTCCAGAAACACATCCTGCTCCAGATCAGAAGTGGGGGCAACTCCTACTCCTGATATGTGACAGACAGGGATTATCCTCTTCAATGATTTGTCCCATTGCATCTTTGAGACTTCCACAAACTCAGGACCAGAAGAGACTGTAGTTGAGAAACGAGGACTAGAAAACATGGGGGCTAGGATAGAGGGAAAATCACTCAGGACTTGAGGGGAAATTCCAAAACACAAAAGCAGGCAGGCACTCAAGAAGGAGGTAGTGGGTAAGAGGGGGTAAGGATGAGAGAAGGAAGGGACTTGGATAGAGGGAATGTGGGCAAAGGGTCCCTTCTAGCTCATCTGTGGACATGCAGGACTGATGGGCATCCTGCCCTGGGATCTCTAGGGAATTATTTCCATTGCAGAGTCCTTGGAAATCGTCTAAAAATATTTGGAAATAAAAGATTTTTTTTTTTTTTTTAAAGAGAGAAGCATTTGAAGAAAAGCATAGCTATTACTCCAGCCCCCTGGCTGGGTCATTCCTCCTCTCCCTAAGGTAGGAACTCAGCACAGCTGGGACCAACCAAGCCCAGTGTTCTTATGTCAGGCATCTCAGGATCACAATGCTCCAGGAGGAGGAGGCAAAGGAGGACAGTGGAAGAGAGAGGACCTTGACAGATACATCAGGGGTATAAGGAAGGAGAAGAAGGAAACAGACTGCCCTGCCCAGTGTCCAGTTGCTGCCCCAGCCATCCTAACCTGACTCAGCCTCTGGTCAGATTGGCCATCCCAGGAACCAACTAGTTGTAAGAGAAGCCCCCATGGGAGAAGGCAGGGAGGTCAGGGGCACAGGCAGCAGCCTGGGACAGGCAAGCCAGGGGGTTGATCCCACAGTCCCCAGCATCCTGGTCCTCCCGGAAGTAGACTGAGTCAGCAGAGTAGAAGGAAGGGTCCTCATCAAAGAAGTTGTAGGGTCGGAGGAAGAAGCCCACTCCATTCCCCACAGTCACCGTGTTGGGAATATCCTCTGCATGTGGGATGTGCAGAAAACCAGCTGTCACCCAGGCCACCAAGTCCTATCAGGGGGAGAAGAAAGAGGATCATGAGGTCAGGCTTTGCTAGGGATATGCCCTACCTCCCCCAGTGGCCCTTCAGGGAAGGCTTCAGCTCACCAACCCATGGTTCTTGAACCTTTAAATATTTTCCCTTCTGACCCCAAAGTCAAAGCATGAAGAGTCAATTTCATAGTGGACTGTACCTGGCCTGCACCCTCCATCTCTGACGCTTCCTATCCCTCTGCCCTCTGCCTACCAACCCGAAAGCTACTTCAGCTGCTCTCCCTACCCCCCAATTCTCTGAGGTTTCCCAAATTATAACTCAAGCCAGAAGGATTGAATGAGGGAAGAGCAGGGCTTGAGAAGCAGAAGCAGGCTGCCATGGAGACTCTTTAATAGTCAAGGAAGGAATGGAACAAGCTCAAAGTGCAGAGCTGTGGTCTTCTCTATTAATTTCCAGCCCTGCTTGAGTCTTGAGGCTTGAAAAGGACTCAGTCCATGAATTCAAGTGCTGTAGGGTTTGGAGGACAGGCCCTGCTCCTCACCCAACTGATGCATATGACTTCCCAGCTCAGGAAGGTTCTCAAGAGAAAAGGATCAGGTCCACTAAAGTGCAGAAAGCAGGTGTCCGCTCCACCTGAGATCCCGTGGTTTTCAGGGACTCTCCCAAGAGAAGGTGAGACTCATCCTTGTACCTCTATCCCTCTGATATCCCGCCCCCCAAGTCAGCTCACCTCTCCAGCAATGGTCTCATTGTTGATGAAATCATTGAAATCCACAGTGGGAGCCCAAGGGTCATTTTGATTAAAGATGCTGGTGCTACTGGGCTCCTCCTCCTTCCGCTGGGTCACCGCCAGATGGTACCTAGAGGGGGACTGCTCAGGACTCCATGGTCACTAACCCCATTCTGCTGCCTGATCATGATAAAAGGAATCTGGGTGCTCAGACTTCAGCTTCTTCCTGTCATTCACATACCAACTCAGGACTGCGGAATTCCTGATGTCATCCTAGAGGGTTCCATCTTCCTGTTGGTCACCCTGCCATTTTACTGCATGGTCCCTCCCCCATCCAAAACAGGAATAAGTCTTCACTTCTCAGTTTTAGTCTTCCAAAGAGAAATGAGCCCCATTGGGCACACTGATAGCTAAGAAATGCTGAGATCTCATCTCAACGTGAGTACAGTCCCAACTGATACTAGTGTCCCTCCAATGCTTCCCTCCCACTCTCACCTCCTGCAGCCCTGACAGCCCACCACTCACCTCTCCCAACTGAAGGCTCTCTCCATGGAGCTGTTCTGGGGCAGTGGCTCCCCTGCAAAACTAAGTATCTGGATGCGGTAGCCTCGTGGGTGACCCCACTTGTTGCTGTGGTTGCTGGCCAGGTACAGGTAGCGGGGAGTGGCCCCTCCCAGGGGGAAAGCAGCCTGTTCCTCTGTTTCCAGCAGCTTTCGGGTCACCTGCATTCTCTGTACCTGGTGTTCAGGATGCCAGGGCACAGTCGTGGGGACAAAGGCCATGTCTTCAGCCCAGACCCAGTTCTCCAGTCCTGTGTGGGGTGGGTGAGGGTGGAAGGCTGATCATGTAGTTGCCCTGGTCCCTCTGGAGTCCTCCCCCACCTGGATTCAGAGGGGGGTCAAAGAGCATCCCAGGACAGAGTGTGGCCTCTGTTTCCTTTCCCTCTGAGACAACCCCAACCTGCCAGTCGAAGATGTTGATCTCTAATTAAAATATTTTTTCAATATTTCATTCATTTTCCTTTCAGCATTCTTATTATTATTATAAGTTGTAGATGGACACAATACCTTTATTTTATTTATTTATATGTGGTGGTGCTGAGGATTGAACCCAGGGCTTCACACATCCTAGGCAAATGCTTCACCACTGAGGCACCACTCCAGCCCCTTTCAACATTTTTTTTTTGGTACTGGGAATTGAACTCAGGGGCACTCAACCACTGAGCCACATCCCCAGAGGTATTCTGTATTTTATTTAGAGACAGGGTCTCACTGAATTGCTTAGTGCCTTGAAGTTTCTGAGGCTGGTTTTGAACTTGAGATTCTTCTGTCTCAGCCTCCCAACTGCTGGGATTACAAGCATGCCTGGTCCTTTCAACATTCTTCAGCAGACAGGACTGTGCTTGCCCCTGGGGACAGAGATGAATGAAACACCATCCTAACCCTACTGTTGTCCCAGGGGACAAAGACAGGAAATCACTGCCTACCCTATAATGGGAGAGGGGCACGGGTGAGGCAGAGTCAGGGTTACAGGAATATAGGTGCAGGCAGTGATATGGCCCCTCTGGGGCAAATTTTCTGCCTAGCCTGAAGGGATGTTACCAAAAGAAATGACATGGAGGGTCATTCTAGGCATGAACAAAGCCTAAGCCAAAATCAAGAAGACTAACTATAACCTGTTTGCTCAGGCACAGGGAGGATGTGGGTGTGGCTGTGGTCAAGCAGGGCAGGTTGGAGCTCCTCCAAGAGGGGATGACCCTCGTAGTTTGTTCTGTAGCTGATGTCCTGCAGAGGCTGGGTAAGTTGGGAGCTATGTAAATTGCAGGCTGGCACGGGTGGCCCTCTTGGCACAGAGTGGACCCTGGATCTGAGAGCATCAAGAGGGGAGGCAGCAGAGAGAGGGCTGACATCTATAGGGGTTACCAGTGAGGGTTCTGAGATATTGCAGAGGCAGAGCAGGGGAAAAAACAGTGATAATGAACTAAAGGAGGGAAGTGAAAAGACAAAGACAGAAATTTCAAGAAATCATGTAGCCTTGACTCTGACCAACTTCAGGAAATTCCTGGAATTCTCCACAGTATTCATTCTACCTCTCACATTGAAGTTAATTGTGGCCAGAATGAGTAATAGAAAATCAGGAAAGAGGAGGACACATCTCCCAGGAAATGTACAACCTAGGTTGTTCCATGATGGTCTCCTTGTGCCAGGGACTCAGCAGAATGCAAACAGATCCTCTAACATACCAGCACTATGGTCCAGACACAGAGAAATGAGCCGGAAAACCAAGAGCTGCCTCCCTGAAGTGGGGCCCACATAAGTGCATAGGAGATAATAGGGAACAGACCCTGGCTCCATCCTGACTTAGCCATTTCTCAATATTTTCTTTCTTTCTTTTTTTTTTTTTTTTTCTTTTACTGCAATACTGGGGGATTGAACCCAGGGCACTTTACCATTAAGCTGTATTACCAGCCCTTTTATTTTATTTTCAATAAATTTCATTTTATTAAACTACTGAGGGTCTTGTTGGCCTTGAAATTGGGATACTTCTGTTTCAGCCTTTGTGGCATATGCCACAGAGCTCAGATGTTTATTTTTTGAGACAGGATCTCTCTAAGGTGCTCTGGCTGGCCTCAAACTTGCTATCTTTTTACTTCAGTCCCCCATGTCTCTTGGATCATTGGCATGCAGCATAGCACCCAGCTGATTCCCAAGATTTTCTAACGGGGTCACATGGAGGAAAGCTGGCAGTTGAGCTCCCAGCCAGCAAGCTAAGATCCAAATAAAATTCAACAGCCAGCTTTCTCCCATACAGCCAAAAGGGAACCATGAAAATCAAAATTCTTTCTTTACTGCATAACCTACAAAAAAATCCCAAACAAATGGAACTCTTCAGTCCTTCTTGCACAATCCTTGTTCCCCATCAAGATGTCTTACCTGCCACATCCAGATCCACCTTGAAGTGGGCACTGTGGGTGTGAACCGTGCCTAGCGTGTGTTCCCCAACTCGGTTCCCATACTTTTGGGCAGCACCAAAGAGGAACGAAGAGCTGATGTAGCCCGTGGCATGGACTTTGACTTCTATGGCCCCGTTGGGGTGGAAGATCATATCCCACACATAGTCATAGTTGAGCAAGGTAGAAACAGATCTGAAGACCAGCACTGTCTCTGCAAGGCCCCCAAAATAGTAGGAGTTGAAATCTGAGTGATGTCGCCGCAGGGGGAGGCCCTGATTCTGTTCAAACACACAAAAGGCATCATGTATTGTCTTGGGGGTCTGGGACTCCAAAAGGAAGTGCCAGTCCACATATGTGGCCAGGTAGGGGCAGTCCACCCCACGCGTCAAGGGTGTGGAGTACTTGCCAATGCCAAAGCTACCATCCATATAGCGGGTCAACATTGCAGCTGGGGAATTTCCACCATAGATGGCCACGGCCTCCTGGACGCTGACTTCATAGGCCACCCTCTCCCCTTGGAAACGGATGTCAAAGATCCTCGGGCCACTGAAAGCTCCAAGGCCAAAGGAGAAAGTCCACATTGAGGAGGCCACTTGATTCCCCTGGACACTGAAGCGGGGACCCTGGGGATGGAACTGCAGAGGGGGAGCCGGACCAGGGGGCACTGGGGACTTCAGGGACCAGGACCCACCTGTGCCATTGTCTGGGATTACCACCACATTCACCAGGCCAGCCTCAAATTGGTCCTCTAGCTGGGCCAGACTCTCATAGTAGCGGCCTTGATAGAATACCTTCTGGATGGTCCAGTGGGCAGGGTTCAGGGCCTTGTGGTCCACCAGCAGCTCCAACCCCACAGGGTGCAGGAAAAATCCAGCCCCTGAGAGGTTGTAGTAGAGGCCAAACCAGGTGGCCCGGTCCCCTGATTGTAGACCACGGGGAGCCGTGGTCATTGTCACCAAGTTTTTTCTCTGAATTTTGTAGAAGCAGCAGTGGTGAAGGAGTCCCTTAGCCTGGGGCAGTTCTCTGTTGAAGATCATCTGGTCTATGTCCAGGTATTCTCGGATCAGCACAGGGCGTCGGTGGTAGGGCAGGGGGCCCCCATGACGCTCCACAGTCACATCCCGCATGTAGGAGGGGTGAGGCAGTGGCCCCACCACCAGCTCACTTACATTGGGCTGGGATTGTCCACCAAAGAAGATGATGGCCAGTGCTTCTCGGGCAGGTGGCGGGCCCCCTCTGTCCAAGTGGGTCAAGGCAGCAGCCTTGGGGGGCAGCTGCAGCTCCACTGAGAAGACACAGTTGTCTGAGGGGCGAGCCTGGGCTGCATCCACCAGCCCTGGCCCCAGCTTCTGGGCCAGAAAACTCATCACAGCTGTCAGCTCCTCTGGGCTCAGGTCTGCAAACAGTTGGCTCTGGGCAGGGTGTGTCCAGGGCTGGGCACTTGGAGATACAGAGGGGCAATGGGGAAGTTGGCTAGGTTCAGTCCCATCTCCACCCCTGCCAGCTAGTAGGACACAAACCAAGGCAAAGATGGTGATGATGGCCAGAGCGAGGAGCACCAGGGTGGTCTTCTGGTTCATTGTCCCTTGAGATGGGGCAGGATTCTACCAGTGTGAATCTGTATATTCTCAGGCAAGCATGAGAGGGGCTCTCTTGGCTGCTGGACCAGGGGCTCCGGGACTCTGGCTGCAGTTCCTGGTAGTCAGCTGCTTAGGCTGAAGGCTGCCGAAGAGGAGGAGGCAGGCAGGGTGGGGCGGGGGAGGGGCACACCAGAGTTGGGGGGCGGTCTCAGCAGGCTGCAGCAATTTCCACAGACCTTACATGGCTTTGTTTTCCAGGCTCCAAATCAGACTCTGCTCTGTAGGTCAGGGTTGGAGTTGGGGAAAGCTGGTGCTGGCGGAAGGGGGAAAAAAGAGCTTGTGCAGAAAAATCCACCACCAGCAAAGAGGTGGGTCTGCCCAGCAGTCCCTGGGCCTCTCAGCCCGGTTTCTTCTATAAGCCCCACCTTCTCTGGGCCAGATGTTCTCTTTCCTGTAACTGGGAACTATTGTTCTCCTCCCAAGCAAACCCTTATCTCCAGCCTCCTCAGCTTCCCAAGCAGCATTCCTTGGCCAGGTCTACCCCCCTTGCACTCTCTCCTCCATTGCTAATTTCATTGGCATGAGTCCTCAGTATTCCTTAGAGGACTCTACACACTTAAAAAGTCAAACAGAACAAACTCAAGTGAAATTCTTATAAGACTTTTTATTATCAATTACACATAACAACCATTCCTTTTTAATACACATGCATAAAGGAATGCCTGGTATGATGCAAACATCAGCTAATTCTGAGTGGTGGGATTTGTGGTGTTTTTGCTTGAATATTTCAAAATTGTTTTTATAAATTTGTCATTTACAAAATGAGCAGAAAGTAAGAATTAACCAAAGTGACACATGGAGATTTTATAGCTTGGGAGGAGGATATTCCCTAAGGAGTACGGAGGGTAAAGAGTCTGAGGAGCAATGTGATAAAAAACACAGGGAACTGAAGGGGGAATGGAGAAGGCAAGTGTCTCTCATCAGATGCTGCTCCCTACCCCTACCCCCTATGTTCCCCCCTACTCTCAGATCTAGAAACCTTGATAAGAAAAAAGGGGAAGGTCTGGGATACAGGCTGCCAAGTTGGGGGTGCAGGCCACAGGGTTGATACTGCAGAGCCCAGCATCCTGGCCCCTCTCAAAGTAGACACTGCCAGGGGAGAAGATGGAGGGGTCCTCATCAAAGAAGTTATGAGGTTGGAGCAAGAAGCCAACTCTGTTCCCCAAAGTCACCGTATTGGGGACATCCTCAGCATGGGGAATGTGCAGGAAGCTGGCTGTAACCCAAGCCACCAGATCCTGCAGGAAAAAGGAAGAGCTGGAGGATTTTGGAGGCAAAACCCAAAGAACCACCCCTCAGTCACAACTCCCTCAGGCTGTTTTATGCCTCTGCCCAGCAGCTGGAAAGTGGGCAGTGTCCCATGACTAATCTCACCCTAGGAGGGATGACCCATTCGGTCAACAGAGAACCCCTTGCCCCCAAATCAGAAATAGAAACCATTCCCTCTAACCTATGGCTAGAGGCTGGGCAGCCAAGATGCAGGCATAGAGGAGCAGCCCTCCTGAACCTACAGCTACCAACCTCTCCTAAGAGGGTTTCGTTGTTGATGAAGTCAGCGAAGACAATTGAGGGTGTCCAGATGTCAGACTGGAAATAGATGCTGCTGCTCTGCGATTCCTTCTCCTTCCTCTGGGTCACCACAAGCTGGTATCTGACCAGGAATTGTCATAGGAAGGTGGTGTTGGAAAATATCAAGAGCCATTACTAGCCCACAAGTCCTTTGGATCACATTCTGAGAGTCCATTTCCCACCCCATTTCTACTTGGATCTGAGGGCAGGTCCAGGGATAAATGGTAAGCCATGGGTAGTGAGTTAGGGCCAGTCCTTCCCTACCACCCACTGTCCAGGGCCCTCCTCACCTCCCCCAGCTGAGGGCCCTCTCCATGCTGCTCTCCAGGGGCATGTGTATGCCAGGGGGGCTGTGGATCTGGATTCGGTATCCACGCTGGTGACCCCAGGCATTAGTCTGGTTGCTGGCCAGGTAAAGGTAGCGGGGAAGGGGGCTTCCCCAGGAAAATGCTGCCAAATCCTCCCTTCTCAGGACCTGCCGTGTCAGCTGTGGCCGCTGCAGCTGGTGCTCTGGGCTCCAGGGGACTGCAACAGGTTTAAACACCACGTCTTCTGCTACCACCCAGTTTTTCAGCCCTGTCAGGGTGAGGGAAGGGAAAGGAGTTCTACACCAAGTAAGGTGGTTTGGACAGGCCCATCTTCCCCACAATGCTAACTGCACTGGCCTGACATCAGAGAGTACCACCCTGTGCTAGCACAGTGTTACCCCACCTTCTTCTAACTTGCCCTGTCCAGTAGGATAACCACTATTCTCATGTGGCTTTTTAAATTGAAAATTCAGTTCCTTGGATGCAGTGGCCGCATTTACTTTGTTTGGTAGCCACATATGGCTAGCAGCTCTTGTATATAATGACAGCACAGATACAAACATTTCCAGCATCGCAGAAAGTTCCATTAGCATTTGCCCACCAGCAGATCTTATACCAATATTTGCTTCTCTGATTCTTTCTGAATCTCTACCCTAGGCATAATCAAAGCAGTTTTATTGCTATTTTTCCAATAAATGGAAAAACACATGCAACTGGGTAGTAACATTCTTTTAACTATGAAAGGAATCTGTCTTGGAGAAACTAGTTAGGAAAACTCAATCCCCTCCCACAGTCCCAGATCTCCAAACTCTGTGACTGCTTTCTACCAGCAAGGTAGGGAAAGCTTCCAATCATTTTCAAAATCAGCAGATTTGTAACTCTTTCTTTTTCCTTGCAGTACTAGGGATGGAATTTAGGGGCGCTCTACCACACCAAGCTACATCCATGGCTCTTGTTATTTTTTGACAGTCTCACTCAGTTGCCCAGGCTAGCCTTGACTTATGATCCTCCTGCCTCAGCCTCCCAAGTTACTTGGATTATAGACATGAGCCACCATGCCCGGCCAGATTTGTCTTGTTTGGGAGTGCCTTGGAATTCTATTGCACATACAGCCTGCATTGCCCAAAGCAGTATTTGATCACTCTCTCTTCAGGTTGAGACTGTTAGTTCCTTTAAATGTGACCTATGGAAGGTACCCGACAGTGAGGCACTCCACTGGGGCTAGCACCTCTGCCAGCTGCAGTTCTGTGCTGGCACCTAACTACCAACTTCTGGTCCCACAGCAGCAACCTGGGCTGCACACACTAGCAACTCAACATTAACATTACCTGACTTGACTTCCCAAAATAAGGCTCTTTAATGCCAAAAACACTGAAGTGAAACTTCCAATTGGAAAAGTCATAGTCCAATTATGTCAGAGTAATCTAGCTAATATGATTATTTCAGATGTGTTTTGGCTTGAGTTTTTCCTCCGCCCACCCCTCCACAAACTCAAGCACAAGCCTGTATGCATGCAGGGTACAGATTTTGTACATAGGAGGCTAATGTTTCACAAGAAATACTTAGTTATACTGCATTATTCTTGAGCAGACACTTCCTGCCCCATCCTCCTTAATTTCCCCAACTATAAAATGAGGAGGGGCTGGTGGATATCTAATTTTCTTTCTGGGTCTAAGTCTGTGATTTGACAAGTTTGCTTTCTGTCCTTGAAAGATCTGTCAAGAGCAGCAAGTCTTTAAGAATTCCTTTATACACTTGCAGCAAGCCTATCACATATCTGACTCATCTCTGGAAAGTTAGTTCATTGTGATCACAGGTATGGGGCAGCCCTCCCCACAAGGCCAGTTAGCACTGTGGAGAAACCCCTAGTATGAGACCCTGTCCTCCAAGCCCCAGGTTGCTTTCTGCCTATGCTCAACTCTGCCCTCCCCACCCCCACTCACTCTCAGGATTACTGAGCAAGTAGCAAAGTGCATAACTCCAGCCCCATCCAAACTGACAGGGCTAATTCACTCTCCTAAGGTGTCACCCAAGGCTAAAGCAGCCAGACAATACATTTAAACTAGTTTCACAACTGCTGCTGGTCCTGGAGGTTGGGGCTGGGTGGAAGAACCCTTTACACCTTTGGCCAGATACCCAGAAGCCCAGACGTGGACTAGCTGACTACACAGTCCAGGTTCTCCCCTTCCATAATCACTGTGGAGTTGGCATAGTTGCCTTGCTGTTCACAAGACCTCAGCTTAACCTAAGGGATTCCCTCCCCTCCCCTAACCCCACCCCTCAATTTTCACACCCTGAATACTCACCTGCCACATCCAGGTCCAGCTTGAAGTGGAAGGCGTGCGTGTGCACCGCCCCCAGCACCCGTTCCCCTACACGATTACCAAAGAGGAGGCTCTCTGCTCCTCCACTCAGGAAAGCTGTGTTGACATAGCCTGTGGCATGGACCCGCCCTTCAAGCGCCCCATTTGGGTGCAACACAAAGTCCCAAATGTAGTCATAGTTACCCACAGATGACACAGACCTGACCACAAGGGCTGAGCTGGCCAAACCACCATAGAAATGACTCTCAATGTAATTGTGGTGCCTTCGAAGAGGTAGTCCCTGAACCTCCTCAAATACACACACTGCCCCTGGGAGCAGCTGGACTGTCCCTTTGCCTGCTAATATATGGATGTCCACCATTGTGGCTTGATAGGGGCAGTCCACACCCCGTACTAAGCCTCGGCTGTTACGGCCAAGTCCATAGCTGCTATCCAAATATCGGGTCATCATTGTCTTGGGTGAGTCAGCACCATAGACAGACAGGCACTCCTGGACACTGACTTCATAGGCCACTCGCTCACCCTTGAACCGAACATCAAAAATCCTTATGCCACTAAACACCCCATGGCCAAAGCTCAATGTCCAGAGGGGGGATACCACCAAGTTCCCTTGTACATTGTACTGAGAACCCTGGTGTGAGAAATGAAGAGGTGGAAGAGGGCCCAGGGTGATTCGGGACCTGAGGGATGAAGACCCATTTGGTGTGGGTAGAGGCACTCTAACCACTTCTAGCCGGCCAGCTTTAAACTCCCATTCTAATTGGCCCAAGTCTGCATAGTAGTGCCCAAGGTAGAAGACCTGCTGGACAGTCCAGCGGGCAGGGTCCAGGGCACTGTGATCCAACAGTATTTCCAGCCCCACAGGGTGAAGGAAAATACCAAGACCTGAGACATTATGGTAGAGGGCAATCCAGGTAGCCCGGTCCCCTGAGCGCAAACCTCTAGGGGAGGAATGTAGAGGTGCCAAAGTGGAGCCATTGTAGTTCAGGACAGAAGCCAGGAAGACAGGTGCCTTGGGTAGTTCCACCTCTTTCAAATGCCTCCATGTCTGTACCAATTCAGATCTCAGCATGGGACGTCGGTGATAGGGCAGTGGACCACCATGACGCTCCACAGTCACATCCCGCATGTAGGAGGGGTGAGGCAGTGGCCCCACCACCAGTTCACTCACATTGGGCTGGGGTTGTCCACCAAAGAAGATGATGGCCAGTGCTTCTCGGGCAGGTGGCGGGCCCCCTCTGTCCAAGTGGGTCAAGGCAGCAGCCTTGGGGGGCAGCTGCAGCTCCACTGAGAAGACACAGTTGTCTGAGGAGCGAGCCTGGGCTGCATCCACCAGCCCTGGCCCCAGCTTCTGGGCCAGAAAACTCATCACAGCTGTCAGCTCCTCTGGGCTCAGGTCTGCAAACAGTTGGCTCTGGGCAGGGTGTGTCCAGGGCTGGGCACTTGGAGATACAGAGGGGCAATGGGGAAGTTGGCTAGGTTCAGTCCCATCTCCACCCCTGCCAGCTAGTAGGACACAAACCAAGGCAAAGATGGTGATGATGGCCAGAGCGAGGAGCACCAGGGTGGTCTTCTGGTTCATTGTCCCTTGAGATGGGGCAGGATTCTACCAGTGTGAATCTGTATATTCTCAGGCAAGCATGAGAGGGGCTCTCTTGGCTGCTGGACCAGGGGCTCCGGGACTCTGGCTGCAGTTCCTGGTAGTCAGCTGCTTAGGCTGAAGGCTGCCGAAGAGGAGGAGGCAGGCAGGGTGGGGCGGGGGAGGGGCACACCAGAGTTGGGGGGCGGTCTCAGCAGGCTGCAGCAATTTCCACAGACCTTACATGGCTTTGTTTTCCAGGCTCCAAATCAGACTCTGCTCTGTAGGTCAGGGTTGGAGTTGGGGAAAGCTGGTGCTGGCGGAAGGGGGAAAAAAGAGCTTGTGCAGAAAAATCCACCACCAGCAAAGAGGTGGGTCTGCCCAGCAGTCCCTGGGCCTCTCAGCCCGGTTTCTTCTATAAGCCCCACCTTCTCTGGGCCAGATGTTCTCTTTCCTGTAACTGGGAACTATTGTTCTCCTCCCAAGCAAACCCTTATCTCCAGCCTCCTCAGCTTCCCAAGCAGCATTCCTTGGCCAGGTCTACCCCCCTTGCACTCTCTCCTCCATTGCTAATTTCATTGGCATGAGTCCTCAGTATTCCTTAGAGGACTCTACACACTTAAAAAGTCAAACAGAACAAACTCAAGTGAAATTCTTATAAGACTTTTTATTATCAATTACACATAACAACCATTCCTTTTTAATACACATGCATAAAGGAATGCCTGGTATGATGCAAACATCAGCTAATTCTGAGTGGTGGGATTTGTGGTGTTTTTGCTTGAATATTTCAAAATTGTTTTTATAAATTTGTCATTTACAAAATGAGCAGAAAGTAAGAATTAACCAAAGTGACACATGGAGATTTTATAGCTTGGGAGGAGGATATTCCCTAAGGAGTACGGAGGGTAAAGAGTCTGAGGAGCAATGTGATAAAAACACAGGGAACTGAAGGGGGAATGGAGAAGGCAAGTGTCTCTCATCAGATGCTGCTCCCTACCCCTACCCCCTATGTTCCCCCCTACTCTCAGATCTAGAAACCTTGATAAGAAAAAAGGGGAAGGTCTGGGATACAGGCTGCCAAGTTGGGGGTGCAGGCCACAGGGTTGATACTGCAGAGCCCAGCATCCTGGCCCCTCTCAAAGTAGACACTGCCAGGGGAGAAGATGGAGGGGTCCTCATCAAAGAAGTTATGAGGTTGGAGCAAGAAGCCAACTCTGTTCCCCAAAGTCACCGTATTGGGGACATCCTCAGCATGGGGAATGTGCAGGAAGCTGGCTGTAACCCAAGCCACCAGATCCTGCAGGAAAAAGGAAGAGCTGGAGGATTTTGGAGGCAAAACCCAAAGAACCACCCCTCAGTCACAACTCCCTCAGGCTGTTTTATGCCTCTGCCCAGCAGCTGGAAAGTGGGCAGTGTCCCATGACTAATCTCACCCTAGGAGGGATGACCCATTCGGTCAACAGAGAACCCCTTGCCCCCAAATCAGAAATAGAAACCATTCCCTCTAACCTATGGCTAGAGGCTGGGCAGCCAAGATGCAGGCATAGAGGAGCAGCCCTCCTGAACCTACAGCTACCAACCTCTCCTAAGAGGGTTTCGTTGTTGATGAAGTCAGCGAAGACAATTGAGGGTGTCCAGATGTCAGACTGGAAATAGATGCTGCTGCTCTGCGATTCCTTCTCCTTCCTCTGGGTCACCACAAGCTGGTATCTGACCAGGAATTGTCATAGGAAGGTGGTGTTGGAAAATATCAAGAGCCATTACTAGCCCACAAGTCCTTTGGATCACATTCTGAGAGTCCATTTCCCACCCCATTTCTACTTGGATCTGAGGGCAGGTCCAGGGATAAATGGTAAGCCATGGGTAGTGAGTTAGGGCCAGTCCTTCCCTACCACCCACTGTCCAGGGCCCTCCTCACCTCCCCCAGCTGAGGGCCCTCTCCATGCTGCTCTCCAGGGGCATGTGTATGCCAGGGGGGCTGTGGATCTGGATTCGGTATCCACGCTGGTGACCCCAGGCATTAGTCTGGTTGCTGGCCAGGTAAAGGTAGCGGGGAAGGGGGCTTCCCCAGGAAAATGCTGCCAAATCCTCCCTTCTCAGGACCTGCCGTGTCAGCTGTGGCCGCTGCAGCTGGTGCTCTGGGCTCCAGGGGACTGCAACAGGTTTAAACACCACGTCTTCTGCTACCACCCAGTTTTTCAGCCCTGTCAGGGTGAGGGAAGGGAAAGGAGTTCTACACCAAGTAAGGTGGTTTGGACAGGCCCATCTTCCCCACAATGCTAACTGCACTGGCCTGACATCAGAGAGTACCACCCTGTGCTAGCACAGTGTTACCCCACCTTCTTCTAACTTGCCCTGTCCAGTAGGATAACCACTATTCTCATGTGGCTTTTTAAATTGAAAATTCAGTTCCTTGGATGCAGTGGCCGCATTTACTTTGTTTGGTAGCCACATATGGCTAGCAGCTCTTGTATATAATGACAGCACAGATACAAACATTTCCAGCATCGCAGAAAGTTCCATTAGCATTTGCCCACCAGCAGATCTTATACCAATATTTGCTTCTCTGATTCTTTCTGAATCTCTACCCTAGGCATAATCAAAGCAGTTTTATTGCTATTTTTCCAATAAATGGAAAAACACATGCAACTGGGTAGTAACATTCTTTTAACTATGAAAGGAATCTGTCTTGGAGAAACTAGTTAGGAAAACTCAATCCCCTCCCACAGTCCCAGATCTCCAAACTCTGTGACTGCTTTCTACCAGCAAGGTAGGGAAAGCTTCCAATCATTTTCAAAATCAGCAGATTTGTAACTCTTTCTTTTTCCTTGCAGTACTAGGGATGGAATTTAGGGGCGCTCTACCACACCAAGCTACATCCATGGCTCTTGTTATTTTTTGACAGTCTCACTCAGTTGCCCAGGCTAGCCTTGACTTATGATCCTCCTGCCTCAGCCTCCCAAGTTACTTGGATTATAGACATGAGCCACCATGCCCGGCCAGATTTGTCTTGTTTGGGAGTGCCTTGGAATTCTATTGCACATACAGCCTGCATTGCCCAAAGCAGTATTTGATCACTCTCTCTTCAGGTTGAGACTGTTAGTTCCTTTAAATGTGACCTATGGAAGGTACCCGACAGTGAGGCACTCCACTGGGGCTAGCACCTCTGCCAGCTGCAGTTCTGTGCTGGCACCTAACTACCAACTTCTGGTCCCACAGCAGCAACCTGGGCTGCACACACTAGCAACTCAACATTAACATTACCTGACTTGACTTCCCAAAATAAGGCTCTTTAATGCCAAAAACACTGAAGTGAAACTTCCAATTGGAAAAGTCATAGTCCAATTATGTCAGAGTAATCTAGCTAATATGATTATTTCAGATGTGTTTTGGCTTGAGTTTTTCCTCCGCCCACCCCTCCACAAACTCAAGCACAAGCCTGTATGCATGCAGGGTACAGATTTTGTACATAGGAGGCTAATGTTTCACAAGAAATACTTAGTTATACTGCATTATTCTTGAGCAGACACTTCCTGCCCCATCCTCCTTAATTTCCCCAACTATAAAATGAGGAGGGGCTGGTGGATATCTAATTTTCTTTCTGGGTCTAAGTCTGTGATTTGACAAGTTTGCTTTCTGTCCTTGAAAGATCTGTCAAGAGCAGCAAGTCTTTAAGAATTCCTTTATACACTTGCAGCAAGCCTATCACATATCTGACTCATCTCTGGAAAGTTAGTTCATTGTGATCACAGGTATGGGGCAGCCCTCCCCACAAGGCCAGTTAGCACTGTGGAGAAACCCCTAGTATGAGACCCTGTCCTCCAAGCCCCAGGTTGCTTTCTGCCTATGCTCAACTCTGCCCTCCCCACCCCCACTCACTCTCAGGATTACTGAGCAAGTAGCAAAGTGCATAACTCCAGCCCCATCCAAACTGACAGGGCTAATTCACTCTCCTAAGGTGTCACCCAAGGCTAAAGCAGCCAGACAATACATTTAAACTAGTTTCACAACTGCTGCTGGTCCTGGAGGTTGGGGCTGGGTGGAAGAACCCTTTACACCTTTGGCCAGATACCCAGAAGCCCAGACGTGGACTAGCTGACTACACAGTCCAGGTTCTCCCCTTCCATAATCACTGTGGAGTTGGCATAGTTGCCTTGCTGTTCACAAGACCTCAGCTTAACCTAAGGGATTCCCTCCCCTCCCCTAACCCCACCCCTCAATTTTCACACCCTGAATACTCACCTGCCACATCCAGGTCCAGCTTGAAGTGGAAGGCGTGCGTGTGCACCGCCCCCAGCACCCGTTCCCCTACACGATTACCAAAGAGGAGGCTCTCTGCTCCTCCACTCAGGAAAGCTGTGTTGACATAGCCTGTGGCATGGACCCGCCCTTCAAGCGCCCCATTTGGGTGCAACACAAAGTCCCAAATGTAGTCATAGTTACCCACAGATGACACAGACCTGACCACAAGGGCTGAGCTGGCCAAACCACCATAGAAATGACTCTCAATGTAATTGTGGTGCCTTCGAAGAGGTAGTCCCTGAACCTCCTCAAATACACACACTGCCCCTGGGAGCAGCTGGACTGTCCCTTTGCCTGCTAATATATGGATGTCCACCATTGTGGCTTGATAGGGGCAGTCCACACCCCGTACTAAGCCTCGGCTGTTACGGCCAAGTCCATAGCTGCTATCCAAATATCGGGTCATCATTGTCTTGGGTGAGTCAGCACCATAGACAGACAGGCACTCCTGGACACTGACTTCATAGGCCACTCGCTCACCCTTGAACCGAACATCAAAAATCCTTATGCCACTAAACACCCCATGGCCAAAGCTCAATGTCCAGAGGGGGGGATACCACCAAGTTCCCTTGTACATTGTACTGAGAACCCTGGTGTGAGAAATGAAGAGGTGGAAGAGGGCCCAGGGTGATTCGGGACCTGAGGGATGAAGACCCATTTGGTGTGGGTAGAGGCACTCTAACCACTTCTAGCCGGCC